AATTTTCGAGTTGTTTTTATCTTGGTTTTGGGAAAATTTACTAAAAAGCTAATCGGTCTTGTAAATCACTATTTTTCATGCAATGCATTTCGTTAGCCGGACAAGCTTCCATTATGCCTACTATTAAATACTTTAAGGAATAAATACCTAATTGTAATATATGAAGAAAAACCTTAATTCTCTATAATTTTTATCCTATAAATAATTTCTCTAAAATGGACCGTATTCGAGATATTTGAGAAAATGTGTAAATTTCGAATTTTGAATAAAACTCAAAAACGGATAAAGGAAAAAACATTAAATTTTAAACTTAAGTTTTATTTCGACAGAGTCGGAACATTTGGGGGGGTACTTTATTGGTGGTCATTTTTATATTTTATGGAATATATTCGTTATTTACGTTTGGGGAAGAAAATTCTTTAAATAAAAGTTACTTACAATATTATTATCTATAATTTTTGTTCTATGTCAAATTTTCCTGAAATGGTCCGTATTCGAGAAATTTGACAAAATGTGCAAAATTCAGATTTTTAAGAAAATTGTTAATCTAAAAGTTGTTTGCGATATCGATCTCTATAATTTTTGTTTTTAAATGACTTTTCTAAAATGGACCGTAATGGAAAAATTGGAGGAAAAGTGCTAAATTAAAATTTTTCAGTATTTTCGTTTTCAATGAATATCTATAGAAAAATGTTTCGAGGTAGATGTATGTGGAAAATGTATATATTTAGTTTATCCTCTAAACATTTTTAGAGATGCTGCAATAGGTTAACTAGATAGGAAAGTCATGTGTTGGACACATCAGATTTTTTTGTATGTGTCTACCCGAACGGTTTGAGGTATCGATTTAAAATTTAATTGACATAATCAAAAACGGTCTAAAATAGTTTTAAATATTTTTACCGATATAAAGTATTTTATACGATAAAACGTTAGGGTGGTGTATAAGTATTGAGTCAGGTTGCAGCATTTTTTTGTATCTCTGTTTATTGCTCACCCGCCATATATTAACATTAGGTATATTTAAAGTTCTATCCTATTATTTACCTTAATAAATGGATATTTTAATCTTATTGGTCTAGAAGTTGTAACCTACCGCACCCAGGTACCTTAATAATTTATTAAATCCAATTATTAAATACAATATTACATTCTTTTAAATTAAAAATGCTTCATTTAACGAAAAATCTCCCAGATAATTAAATCTTATTTACGACACCTAATAAATAATATCTATAACCACGTCCGTAAAAGATGCACGTGGCTGAGTTCCTCGAGGAAGAAAACACCATAAAGTGTATTTCTGTTTACGAAGTAATTATCATTAAAACACTTAAGTCGCTTATTTTCCTAGTTTCGATGTTCAGACCGATATCGACAATATTTCAATACACAAAGCTTTCAAAACAAGTAATAAATAACCCACCCCAGCACCCACCGTATTTCTATGAGAAGCAAAGACATAGAGACGTCACAAAGCCATTAAAACTTTTACTATAAAAAGCCAGACAAAAATGAGCTCGAGTCATTCAATTTTAATTATTTGACGAGGCATTCATTTTCAATTATTTGATGTACAAACATTCATTTATTATTTGTATCCAGTTATATTTCAAGCTCAGTAATCAGTACCTTTCTTAAAACGCTCTTCCTAAACGACGTCTATCCTACAATACCTCCTATCCCCAAAGGTGTCAACGTCTCGAAGCCCAACGTCCTGCTGTCCTAGTCCCTACGTCTCGAACGCTGTCACATTCCTCACCATATAAGTATTTCCTACCGTACACTCATTTCGACGCTCAACGTCCCACGCCTTATTTCCGACGCTTGACGTCCATAAATATTTCCTTCATATCACGTCCCGCACCACCTACATAATTCTACCGTATATCTGTCCCAATACAGTACCGTATTAAATACCTTCCTTTCCACCACGGCGCTAGGCGTCCCGACGATGGGCGCCTCGACGCCCAACCCTGCGACGCCCCTAAATAGACGCCGCCACAACGCTAGATGAAATTAGTACATAATCTAATGTCTGTATTTTCAATGGTGAGTCAAAGGATTTACGTATCTTTCTTTGAGATACCACCCCGGTTTTGTTTAAGGGCAGGCTTGACATTTGCTGTAAAATATTATCAATAAACCACATAGCCTTCAGGTCATACACCCCGAAAGACATCTGTTTTGGATGGGTGAAAGTTTGAGTATTTTAATAGAAATTATAAAAATCAATATACAGGGTTGAATTAAGTTACTTCAATAGAAATTAAAATAATCAATTGACGCTGTTTGTTAACTCTGTTGGTCATCAACCTAAATAAAATATATATTGATAGTAAATGAATATGGTCTGCGTTTGAACGGGACTCAAGTGAGATCTCAGTAAATAGTAACAATTGTAATATAATTTGCTAATTATTGCATCACATTTAAAGTATGAAAAATAAATAGAGTTTAAATATGAATTTGTATGTTTTATTTATCAATTTGCACCAAACTTTGCATCGAATTCTGGTTTACCTTAATTAACATTATCACAACGTGGGTACATAAAATATCAATTAATTAACTAGACGATCACTTCTAGTACTAGAGGAAAAAGGCCAAATACAGTAAGTAAAGAATTTAAAGTAAAGTAAAACTTGTGAGGTAAATAATAACAGTTCAAAGAGAGTAAAGTAAAAAAATAAGAACAAATCAAAAAGAAGAGTGGGCCTGGGGGCAGGCCGTCACAAAGTCCTAGAATTCCATTGAGTATTTGTTTGTTTGTTAATGTCATCTATAGTTTTGAGGTTACTTCGAATGTATATTTTCATTTTCATTTGTATCACTTTTGAAAAACACGTTTTCAAATTTAGTTAGCAAAGACAAATGATGGTGGGTGGGGGTGTAAGTCAAATGGCAGTAATGGCACCATCAATCATCTTTAAGTCGCCTCGGAGCGTCACGGCAAATAATAATAATAGCCGTCCGTCCCTTTCCCCGGACAAGCTCAGCTTTTGGGGTTAAAATTCACTCGTAAGGGAGTGAATTAGGGAGAATATTATTATTATTATTACATCTTAAAAGGTTCATAAAATATGAAAATCTCAGTGAAACCGTCACTCGCTTAACTTTGAAACAAATGCGTACCGATTCGATTAACCAGAAAAAATTATATTATTGACTTGTGTAATTATTTTTAAATTACATGTGGATGGGGTGGGTGGCTCAGTAGTAGAGTCTCTGCCTGTGGATCCAAGGGTCCCAGGTTCGAATCCTACCGTTGGGCCGGGATTTTTTTATTTAATTTAATTATTTAAAATTAATTCTGATGCCTTGGTAGGATTCCCCACTCGACTATTCACTGTTGGGTTCTAATTAACAGTGCTGTTCCTAAAGTGGCGCTGGGAAACAGTACCAAAGCCTACACAGAACACGAGGCTAATGGCCGTAGTAGTCGAAGCCGATGACACCAAATTAAAAAAAAAATTACGTGTTAAAAATTGTTAAAATTAAATATCAAAAGAAGCATACAAACATTTTTAAATAATTTGACATTTAAGAGCAATTCCCTTTTGGGGTGGGTATCTCAGTGGTAGAGTCTCTGTCTGCGGAACCAAAGGTTCCAGGTTCGAATCCCACCGACTTTTTTATTTAATTTAATTATTTAAAATTAATTCTGATGTCTTGGTAGGATTCCCCACTCGACCATTCACTGTTGGTTTCTAATTAACAGTGCTGTTCCTAAAGTGGCACAAGGAAACAATAACACGGCCTGTCTGTAGGAATATAGGAGTATTAGAGAACTAGTACTCCTGCACTTGCACTATGGAGTATTAGACTACTATTACAATCCATAACCTACATAGAACACGAGGCTAATTACCTTAGTTGTTGAAGCTAAAGACACCAATAAAAAAAGAGCAATTCCCCCATGACAGCTGACAACTTGATACTTGACAGGCAGAGCCAAGCATTATTCTGATTATTGCCAAATAAAATGGCAGGTTAATTATTCTATGGGGTTGCGACAGAGAGCCAGTAAATTTGATGAAGGTGTCACTGTGGCTAGGGACGAAATAGTAGTAAGCTTAAGTTAGCAACACCATAAAAAAGTAATTTTTAAGAAACTGCTTATATATAGTTCATAAATTGGCAGGCTTGGCGACAACTATTTCGAATAAAAAGAGCCTCCAAAATTGCTATGGTTGCAACTATGAAGGTCGCCACCCCCCTTAGAAATCTCATCTTTACAATCAACAGCTGTTGTTTGACAGGTCGTTGTAGTGCCTGATATTGGAGTGTTTGCAATATATGGAATGTTAGACGTTAGGAATGATTGGAACGCGTAAAATAAGTCATATAAGAAATGCATAGGTGGATTTTAAGAACATTGATATTAAAGTAGTTAGGATGAAACGACAATTCTGAAAATCAATAGGGTTCTAAGTTAGAAGCAATTATTCAAGAAAATTAAAACCGCAAGTCAATCGGAACTTCCGTTCTAGAGTTATCGCATTTTCGGTTTCAGAATGATGAAACGTGAAAAAAAGTTTAAAAAATGAGGGTAAGACAACTTTTTCGTCTGCACGAATGCAATACTGAGGTCCCATAAGAAGGGCCTCAGTAAAAATCAACTAATTAAAAAAAATTGTTTACTCGAAAATGTTTCGGTAATAATTCTAGCACTGATCTCATTCACCAAAAAGTCGTGTTTATGATCATAATTGTTTCAAATTCCCATTATCACCGCAAAAACATTATTTATTAAATATATTTGTTTAACAATATTCGACTCTAATAAACCGTAAAATTACTTCTTTTTTACCCGAATATTGTGCAATACCCATTCCTAATCATCAATTTTTTCTGATTTATATCATTTTAAACATTAAAGGTCACATTCTTTGTAGACCGCCGAAGAACTATTTTTTCAAAACAAAACCTAGTCAACTAGAACAATATATTTGATATAAATAGTTAATAAACCGAAAATAAAGTAGTCATTCTTCGAGTTCAAATCATAACAAAAACTTTACAATGTTCAAAGTAGCGTTTTCGCTATTTTTAGTATTTTTGACTGTAGATTCAAAATTCTACGAAACTGATATCGGCCCATATGGACACGGAGGTCAATATAGCACATACAGAACTCAAGAATATGATCCAGAAAATGGTTACCCATATGGATTAAGTTACAAGAAATATCCCGACATTCCATTCAAAGAAGTTGGGGTTGCTAGAGAAATAGAATATGAAGAGCCAATTTCGGGACCAATAGGGCTTCCGTATGGCCATGGTGGTGGCTTGGAAGGTCATGGTGGTGGCTTGGAACATGTAAGGCAATTAGGATATAATGGTTACTATGGAGTAGGTGGTGGTAGTGGATATGGAGGTTATCCAGTTAGATATGGTAAAAGTCTTGGATATGGGTAAGTACGTTTTTAATAAATATGGGTATAGTTTTTAATAAAATTTCCTCATTATATTTACATAAAATTGTTATCGTATACGAGATAGGTTAAAAATATGATAGCAGTAAAATACTTATATTTAAAAAAAATTGTAGGAAACATTGTTGAATTCCAATGGACTATATCAATTGGTCGTAATCTTATTTATGTAGAAACACTTTTTCGCTCTTTGTTTTTCCAAACAATTAGAAGAAAATTTATATTAAAAAAATATTATTATTCACGTTTAATCGGTCAATAGAATAACTACACATTGTTACAAATTTGTCAAATATTATACCCTAAAGGCCAATATTTGCATTTTTTTTCTCGTAATGCGTAGTGGTTAGTTATTTTAATTTTTGTTTTAATTGTCTTATTAGACATTTATTGTTAACTTCTTTAATTTTAATTTCAAACTGACACATCTCAACAATCAACAATACCCGAGTCTCAACAATATCCTTGTCAAAAAATTACCAAATTGATGTCATTAGTTGGCTAACATTACCTAATAACTTCAGCAGCAACCCCAAAAACAATATCACTGACGTATTTGACAGAATTGACACGTAATTTGTCATAAAAGTCACTAAGAACGACCATTTTGAAAACGGTATATTAAATTTCCGTGCCTTGGTTTATTAGGAAACATACCTAATGATGTTCCATAGCTATTTGTATTACTAGGGAGGAAAGTGCCACTTTTCCTCCCGCAGGATGAAGTTTACTGCCCGACGCGAAGCGGAGGGCAGTAAACATCCAAGGGAGGAAAAGGCACTTTACTCCCAAGTAATACATATGATTTTTCCGCCTCCCTCAAATAACAAGTAATTTTTAAATAATTTATTTATGAAACTAATAAACAAAATTTATTAAAGAACTAAAATTATGAAGTAGGTATAGTATAAATTATAGGCATGTTATTTTCATTCTTGCATCCTACATATTTTTAATTTGTGGTAGAGTAATTATTTTTCTGAGTAAGTACGAATATGCTTTTCTTCTGCCCATTGCTTAAAATGTAAATACCGTTTTTCGTATTTTTCTTTAGATTTTTGGGGTAATAGAGATTGAACTGTTGCATTAACCTGTTCCAAAATATCCGGTGGTGTATTATTTATATAGTTAAGTTAACAACACTTTAAGTTTCCAAAAAAAAGCAAACTTTATTTATTTAAAAAATATACAAAAATGGATCTTTAATTAACAATGTTTATCGTAAGTGATTAAAATAAAAAGAACGTTGATTCCCACGTTGACATGGTATTTATAATCTCGGGTTCATTGTCGCCAAGGTGCAAAGCGCTGACTTTGCTGACGAGGCACTCCGGGCATTGAACGGTGGGTTTCTATCACATTTCTCCTCCCTCCTTTGGTCCTGGCTTCGTCCTCGAAGTCTCTACGAGTAGCTCCTGAAGAACCTGGATTTGTGCTGGTTGTAGTTTGGGCCCAAAAAGAATTTTTGATATTCTTTTCTTTTTCTTTACTACGATAGTAAAAAGGATGGCTGAAACAGAAATTATAAGGACAAGGGCGACAGTGCTGAGTCCTGTTGAAATTTGTGGCATAAGTGCTATTGGCTCTATTGGTTGGAGTTGTCCGTGGCTTTCTGGAATATTCAATTTTTCAATTTTTAATTTATGTTCTGGAATTAGTCTAATTGGGATGACTTCTGGAATGGCGATTTCTTGAATAGTTTTCTTATCATAGTGAATTCCTTCTATGTCGATAGGTTCATCTGACAACAGGATGCTGCTTTTTCGGATTTCTTGTTGATTTATTATTATTGGGTGGACTATTCCCAATAAAATTACTTTTCGGGTTTCCTGTGAAAAGTTCTCTGTGATCAATGTTTTGGTGCAATTTTGAACATTAGGGATGAGGCATCTGGACTTCACGGGCTTGGCACATATAGTGTAATCTGCTTGGCCGGTACATGTTTCATACCATTTGCTATTGGCATAATAGTGTGCAGGAGGCAAAACCATTATGTGATCATTATTAGGGATAGGATAAATTCTAAAGGTGGGGTAAGCGTTAACGTGGAGGATTGGGATTTTGAGAATTATGAGCATTGTATTGGGTGTGACGCAAACTAGAGATTTAGATGATTCGATAAGTTCATATGGGTGTTCGTCATCGACGAGTAGGGCATTTCTTGAGTAAATTTTTATAAGGTTTTCTTTTAAGTCCTCGAGTTCTTTAAGAGTAAATAATTCTATATTTGACAAATTTAAATGTGAAAGGGTAATTGTCCGAATAAGTTTCATAAGAAATTCGTTAATGTTTTGAAGATTTATTATTTCATTATGTAGGGTAATGTATCCATCAAAATCAGCTGATAATTTATTAATTGCTAGTAAAAGGGCTCTATTATTTTTAGTTACTTGTTCTAAAAGTTTATTGAATCTCGTATCAATAGATTGGCCAAATGAGATTTGATTATTAAATTTTTTTATTATTTCATTTTGTTTAACTTCTATTGCGGTAATGTGAGTCTTTAGTAAATTTAAGTCAGAGTCGTCAGGATTTCCGGTTATGTATTTTATAGTCGTGCCAAGAAAATTAAATAGTCCTTTTTTCTGTTTTCGTGTTATTTTATGTAGGTTGTCTTTTGCTTCACCATGTATGTGATTGTATTGAGTATTTAATAGAGAAAGTGGTCCAGTTTTTAATGAATTTTTAAAATAGTCGTTAAGGCTGATATCTAAAGTTTCTTCTAGTTTTTGTAGGTCAATGTGTAAAATGTGTCTATGATAATGTGAAATTTCTCGGGATTTGCCAATTTCTTCAGCGTAATATCCATTATTCGGAATCACTTGAATTTTGACAAGTTGTCCCTGACGTCCCAGGGAGAGGATTGTCCTGTAAAGAAGTATCGTCTTGAAAATTTTTATTTTTTATTTTTCGTATTCTTTTAGCAAATTTTAAATGAGTACTAGTGTCGTTTTGTTTCTTAGTTTTACCAATAATTTTTGTGTTAATTTGTTTTTTAGGGTGTATAATAGAATAAGGGGCATTTAATTTAGGCCTATGTTTTTTCTTAGTTACATAAAGGGTTTGTGTAAGATCTATTTCAGGTACGGTTTCGGCACTTTCGTTTTGTTTTTCTAATATTTTCTGTCTTTTTTCTTTTTGTTTGTTGTATAAGTCAGTTATGAAAGGACGAAGTTCATCCTTATGTCTTTGATTGTATGTTTCATACAGGGGAAGATCAAAATCAAAATGTATTTCTTCGGCATATGGTCCGTATAATATTGAAAAAGGAGAGTAATTTGTGGCACTATGAATTGATTGGTTATAGATTAATACTGCATGTGTAAATGTGTCGTCTAAGGGGTCTTGTGGGTTTTGATTTCGTAATGTTCTAAGTTTCTCAAGTAGGGTAGAGTGGAATCGTTCTACGGGGGAGTTTGATGATGAATTATTTACTGTGGTATAATGAATTTCAATTTTATGTAATTTCATAAATTCGATGACTAAGACAGAATTAAATTCTTTGCCGTTGTCACATACGACTTTTTTGGGGTAATTGTGGTGAGAAAAATAATGTCTTAATTTACTTAAAATTGAGATTGAAGTTTTATCAGGAATTTTATAACACTGAGCGTATTTTGAGAAAGAATCTACTATTGTCAGGTAGAGATTTTTATTGCACTGAAATATGTCTATGTGTATTATGTCAAAAGGTTTCTGTCCTAGTAAAGGGCCTAATTGTGGAAGTTTGTAAGGGTGTCTTTCATATTTATTTGTTAAACAAATTTCACATTTATTAATGAGGTTAGAGATTGTTGTTTGCATAGAGGGCCAGTAAAATTGATGCCTTAAATGTTTATAAGTCTCTACTATGCCGTTATGATTTTCATTATGATACTTTTGTACACATTCTATTTGTTTTTGTTCGTTTTCGATGTCTTGTAATAATGTGTTGCAAAATATAGCTTTAACAGTTGTGTCTATGTATTCACGAAAATATTTACAAACAAAAGGTCTAAATTCGTGAGGTATTTTTATAGCAAATTTTTGATTTGGCCTTAGTAAACTTTTGAATGCGTCAGTAATTTCCATTATCCAGTCATCGGTAATTGTTACAGTGTGTCTGTGTTTGTTAAATAATTTTTTATAAGTTATGTCATACTCTTTAGATTGAGGGACAAAGATAATTTGATTTGTTGAAAGGTTAATGGGTTCTTCCGAAATCGGAATTCCCGCAATTGGGTTTTCTGCTGCAGTGTGTTGCGTGTTATCAGTACTAGGGGGTTGTCTATCGTTTAATTTTTCAAAAAATTCGTCGAGGTCAAAGTCATTCAAGTCATTAAGATTTGGGGGTTCGGCACACATAGAATTGCCGGTGAGTGCATTTATCTGTACTCGAGAAAGGGCGTCGGCTACTTGATTTTCTTTTCCTTTTTTGTATTTTACCTCGAAATTATAATCTTCGAGTTTTAATCTCCAGCGTGCTAATCTGGAAGTGGGATCTTTAATTTTATAAAGCCATACAAGGGGATTATGGTCAGATTCAACAGTGAAATTTTGAGCGTATAGATAAGGGCGAAAATGTTTACAAGAATCGATTATTGCTAATAGCTCTTTTTCGGTTGTTGAATAATTTTGTTCCGCGGAGTTCAAAGTTCGAGAATAATATGCGATTGGGTGATTATCTTGTGTTAATACCGAGCCAATGGCTATATTAGAAGCATCAGTAGTTAGAACAAAATGTTTAGAGAAATCTGGGTATTGAAGAACAGGGGCATTGGATAATAGTTGCTTACATTTTTCGAAGCATTCGAGATAAAGTGAATTATTGGGGTCGATAACTGCTCCTTTTCGGGTGCAACGAGAAAATGGGGATGTAATTTTTGCAAAGTTTGGGATAAATCGTCGATAGTATCCTATAAGTCCTAAGAAGGATTTAATTTCTTTTAGTGTCTTTGGGAGTGGAAATTTCTGAATAGCCTCTAGTTTAGCGGGATTTGGTTTTATACCTTCGGGGGTTACTATATGTCCAAGAAAAGCTACTTCTTTCGTAAGAAATTCAGATTTGTCAAGCTGTACCTTTAAATTCGTTTTTTGAAATGTTTCAAAAATAGTTGCAATATGTACGAGGTGTTCCTGTAGGGATTTTGAAAATATAATTACATCGTCCATATAAACGAAACAAAATTTGTAAAGAAAAGGCCTAAGGACGTTATCCATTAATTTTTCGAAAGTGGCAGGGGCATTTTTAAGCCCAAATGGCATCCTCACAAATTCAAAGTGTCCATGAGGAACTGTAAAAGCTGTTTTTTCAATAGAGTTGGGGTGAAGTTCGATTTGGTGAAATCCCTGCGCTAAATCAAGAGTTGTAAAATAAGTTGCTTTGCCTAAATTGTCTAAAATTTCATCAATTTTCGGCAGAGGATATTTGTCGTCAATTGTATTGTCATTTAATTTACGATAGTCTATTACCATACGGAATTTTTTCTGGCCGGAAGCGTCGGCTTTTTTTGGTACTATCCAAACAGGGGCTGAATAGGGTGAAATTGAGGGTCTAATTATTTTATTATCTAATAATTTATTAACTTGTCTGGTAATTTCTTCTTGCATTACCTTTGGATGTCGAAATCCTCTAACATAGATAGGATTTTCATCCCGTGTCCTAATTGAATGCTTTATAGCTGAAGTAAAAGTTAAGTCTGATTTTTCGTCATAAAAAATGTCTTTATATTTCTTACATAATTTTAAAATTTTTTCTTTTTCCTCTAAATTTAAATGTTGAGTACGAATTATTGAAGGGTCAAAATTTATCGGACCTTCTGAGATTTCATAATTATCTAAATTTTCTACTTGTATTGGTTCTAATTGTTCGGGGCTAGGGAGATAAATGTCATCTATATAACCGTTTGTAACAGTGTGGATTGATTCGGGAATTTCTATGTTATTTATTTTAATTTCGGGGAAAAGTATTTCGCCACTACTTATATTAACTGGAATTTTGTTATATAAAGTGTCGAAAGGGATGATAATATTAAAAGCTCTTAATGTCAGTGTTTTAGTTTGGTAGTCTATTAATGCGCGTAAACGTTCTAAATCATAATTTCCAAGTAAAATATCAAAATGTTTACTCCAATCAGCAATTCTAGCATCGATAGTTTCGTATATGTTAAATTCTTTAAATAAAGGCGTTTTAATATTTGACAAAAATGTTTGAGTTATTTTCATTGACGTTAATGTAAATGGTTTTTTATATTTGTGAGTTGGATCAAAATATGTCGCGGCTTTTGGTGAAATGATAGTGTCTGAACCTCCTGAATCAATAAGAACCTTTAATCTTGTTTTAGGCATAATAAAATAGGGTAACTGGGGATAATTATGAATATTATTTAGATCTATTGAGGCGGCGGTTGTCCTTCTAAAAAACCGACCTGAAAATTTTCCTGTTGAAAATTTTCTGTCCTGTCATCATAATTTTCTGTATCATTAAATTCAAAATTTCGGGGCAATGATTCGGAATTTTCATCCCTGGAAGTATCTATATTAAAATTATGCGTCCTTCTAGTGGATAAACTCATAGGTTGATTTTTTGTAGTAATTGTTTGTACGCCACTCATGGGAGTGGGAGAACTTTGATGATTTTGGGAATTTCTAAATGATCTATTAAAATTTTGGGGGTTATTTCTGAAATTAGAATTGTTGCCGAATTGTGGCGAATTATTAAAATTTTGATTATTTCTATAAGTAAAAGCATGTGGAGGTTTATTTTGTGAAAAGTTTGTGAAATTTGGTTGAAAATTACCCTGTGAGTGTGAAAAATTAGGTTTATTGTATACAGGCTTGTACGAGGTTTGTTTAATGGGATTAATTCTTTGTTTTGGATTTTGTTGACCTTTCAGGAAATTCATGTATTGTTGTTGACTCTTATGATTATCGTAAGTAATGCATTTTTGAAGGCCCTCTTCAAGACTTTCAATTCTAAAATGCGACAAATATTCACAATATGGTTCATTTATACCTGTACAAAAAGTTTTAAGGGCAATGCCTTTAAAATAAGGGGTTTTGAAATTTAATGTTTCAGGGTTGTCATTTAGTGATATGTGTTGCAATAAATCATTTAAATTGTCGCACACTCTTTGGTGATAATCGTCATATGTCTCGTTTGTTTTTTGTACCGTTGTAGATAACTGTGTCACTAAAATGTCTTCAGAACGTCTGTCGCCGTATTTTGCCAAAAGGGCAGGTCGAATTTCATTCCAAACTGTTTTGTTAGTAAAATTTAAATAGTCTCTAGGTTCACCCTTGATACGAGAAGCAATATTAGCATTTAAAATAAATTCTTGTGGTTGAGTTAGATTTTGATTAGATAAGAATACGATTAAATTATCTACTGATTTAATAAATGTGGAGAGGTTATCTCCTGTAGAAAATTCGGGTAAAGTAGCACAAAGGCTAGAAATATCACTATTAGTCATAGGCATTTCGGGGCGAAGAACGTTTCGAAAATTTTCAGAAGGATTCTGAGAAAGTTGAGAACTATTCGCTTGATCAGAAATGTCGGTAGTCTCTAATTTGAGACCGGCTAATATAACGTGTAAGTTTTCTTCGGAAATATTATCTAAAGTGCTCATAAAGGATAAAGGAAAATTGTACTCACAAAAGGATGATCACTGAAGATGTCCTCTGCATGCTACTTCTTCCTCTCGTCCTAGGTTCGGTGGATTTTTCGTTAAACAACTGAGTTGACCAGGAAAAGTGAGTTTTCTGTACGAAGAATCCTGTTCGCAGCGCCAGTTAAGTTAACAACACTTTAAGTTTCCAAAAAAAAGCAAACTTTATTTATTTAAAAAATATACAAAAATGGATCTTTAATTAACAATGTTTATCGTAAGTGATTAAAATAAAAAGAACGTTGATTCCCACGTTGACATGGTATTTATAATCTCGGGTTCATTGTCGCCAAGGTGCAAAGCGCTGACTTTGCTGACGAGGCACTCCGGGCATTGAACGGTGGGTTTCTATCACATTTCTATATCTTTAAATTCGATTGAATCACTCATTTTTTAAATATTATTTTATATTTTGTAGATATATTATAGCGTAACACACTTTAAAACTGATCTGTCAATCGACCATAGCATGCTATAATATTTCTGTCCTAAATTCGAAAATCGGATGAATCTATGAATTGAAGTCAAATTATTAATGTAAAAATCGTTAAATTAAAATAACAATTTACTGAGTTTTACTATTTTGCAAAATACAGGGTGTACTAATTAACTTTTATCTTCAGAAATAGCTGAAAAGGCTACAAAAACATTGTAATCAAAAAAAGATTTATACGAAAATTTCACACCAACATTTTTAACCAAACAAGTAAAGTTATTGTTAATCGTTATTATGACAACAGGGAAGATTTTCGTAAATCTTTTTCATTCTGGGGACCTTAAGCGTGATTACACTGGAAATCCTTCTATCAAATGCACAGCTTACTTTTGTTTTACATCTATTATTGACATATCCAGTTTATACAATTAGCATTAGCAATTCAGTTATTTGAAAAATACAGAGCCTAACTTATATAAATGAAGTTTTTATCTTGAATTACATTTAAATGCCTCCAATATTACTCTAATACATAGGTTCCCAACCCTTTTTTTGCATCGGCCATATTTCGAAAAAAACTTTCCATCGACTATTATTTGTGAACAGGTTGTTAATTCTGTGTATTTATAAAATAACAAACCTATTAAAAATAACACAGGTTGTCAATCATAACCCTCTTTATTAAATGATATTATGACCAACACTCTTATGTCTCTAAAGCACAATAATAAGTACTCTTCACACCAATCACTGAAACTCACGATTTGCATTATAAAATATTCTATAGGCTAGTGGCAGTCACTATTACATTAATATTATTCCCTCAATTGGACAAAACATTTTACTCCTATTCATTACTAATACAGTTGAGGTTGTCTTTTGATCTAAATATTCCTTTATATTATAGACTGTTATACTTTGAGGCCCTTTTTGTTCCATATTAATCTAGAAAATAATAATTGTATGGAGAACTATAATTCAGATCATTTTCAAATTTAATCGAACCGTTATAGTTTTATCAGAACAGTAAAATATTCGCGTTAACTAAAACAGAATATCACACAACTTTGTTGATTTTAAGGTATGGTCAAGGACGTGGTTTAAGCTACCATCCAATCTATACTCACGGTATAAGTCCAATTACCCCCCATGGACGACTAGATTTCTACAACCACCAGTCTCCTTATGGCGTTTCACAAATCGACAAAGGAATATACAGCGATGGAAAGCAAAATGTTATTGGAGAACAGTACAATCGTGTTCAAGGTCATAATGGAGAATCTTTAAATCACGGAGATGTCGGTTTCAACAAAGGAGAGGTCGCTTACAAGGACATCAAGGGTGATTCAGTGCATTTCGTCGACGCCGATGGAATTAATAGAGGCCAACATGATGGAAAGAGTTATTCTGGAGGTGAACATTTTAATGCTGAAGGTGAGTATCGTAAATTAAAAATCTCAAAATCACTATCTGTAAAATACATCGATATGTTAATCAAATAGCAGTCAATTCTAGAACCATCATCAGATTGTAACATGTCAAGGTTCAATAGAAACGTCAATCTAACTGTAATAAGTGATTCACAAAAAATGATTCTAAAATAGGCCATAACTGATAAAGACAGGCACGTCCGTGATAGCTACGAACGTATCTCGATTAAATCCAAACCATCATTTAAAAAAAGAAGAATTGTGGAATATACAAGAGACTTCCTAGATAGGTAATTAAGTAGGGTCAAATCAAGTGAACATTTCAAAGAGTTCGAAATAATGGAAATTTTAGCACTAATTAAATGTGGGATGAAAATAAAAATAGTAGTTTGTGCAACAAGAGTTGTAAAGTATATATTATCTACCACCCTCTAAAAAATACAAAATGTTTAAAATTAATTTGAGGTTGTTAAGATAAAACAACTGTTTAATAAAAAATTAACACAAAGATTTAAATTAATTATTTTTAATAATTAATAAAATAAAAAATTTTACTCCACCAGAGATTTGAATCCCGATCCTTTAGAACGGGACCTTAACAGTTAATCTGTTATGCTACACTTTTTGTCCGAAAATAAAAAGATGCTTTGTAAATCAAGCTTTAAAAACTTTTCCTAAACTTCCTGATGTAAAAACAAATCAAGGAAAACTTTTAAAAAATCCGCGCCCTTCAGCAGCATTCGAACCTGTTATCTCTGTTTGGCCAGGTGATTGTCTTAATCTCTGGACCATCAGGGCTTTAACGTTCTGCCATTATAAGTTAATTAAAAATGAAAGATTTAAATCCATCCAAGATGCCCAGATAATTTTCAATATTTTTTTTTTATTATTCTGCCGAGGAGACCTAATATTTTTAAAATTTTTCTTTGGTTTATCTTTACAATAGTACTCGTATGTTTTCGACTTTATTCCTATCTATTTTTGTATTTTATTTGCCTAGGTAAACACGGCAATGAACAAGTGTTAAACGCCAATCACAACAAAGGCCACAACATTAAAGGTTTTAAAAAATCGCACCATTTAGACGAAACAGGAAAGACAGAAGAATTCTTTGATGAAGATCACGATGCTGGTGGCAAATACGCCTTTAATGGCCGCTTCGGAAAATTCGGAGAACTAGGTGGAAATTCTTACAAAGGCGGATTTAATGATGGACGATTTAAAACAGGTATTTACTAGTTAAAAGTAAAATAGAATTAATTATCAATCCACTGCCAATAATTTGATTTTATTCTTAAAGCCTATCTATTGTTAGGTTCATGAAATTTGTTTATTAGGAGTTAAGTTGCTCCTAATATTTCTTTATTTCTTTCTCTTTTTATATATATTTCGCTCATTTTGTTTCGAAAACTATTCATTTTAAGTTTTATATCATTCTTACGGGTATCTTTTTATAATTAGTCTGGTTTATCTTCTTTTAATTGTTTGCTCTTGCTTTAAACTATAATTGCTTTCGCATTCAGCAGATGATCCATTTTGAATGAAAACTAATTATTTTGTTTATTAAGGTGAAGCTACCAAACAAGGACATTATGACAACCAATATTTGGTGGATAAAGCTCAGGGGGGCGTTGGAAAATTCGGGGAAAATAAGTACGCACAAAATGGGGAAGAATATGGATTAAACAAAGGTTTTGGGGAACACGGCCTAACTGGACATCATGAAAATAGTAATATTTACAAGAATTACCCTGTAGGATATGGAGGACATGGAGGATATGGAGGATATGGAGGACATGGAGGATATTATAAAAAATAGAAAAAAGTTTTAAATGTATTAAAACATGCCATGCAATGCACCTAAAATGAGATTGATTTGTATTAATTTTAATTGTTCTTATATTGTAATATTTATAACTAAATAAATAGTCAAGCAAGTTTAATATCTGTTTATTATTATAATTAACCCTTTCATTGTAGGATTAATTGATTCCGAGAATACCTGTTTAGTTCCTTTTTCAAATGGATTACCTAAAAGCAACAAATAGGGGTGCACATAAACTCGCCTGGATATAGGAAAGGTATTTACGAACTAAGTTGCCTAACTATTAAACTCGCCTGCAGATAAACTAGGGTCATATAAGAGAAGTATGAAACTCGCCTGGAAAATGATTGAAGCAAAATAATGATCGAATGCAATTTAAAAAAATTATTTATTTTAGAACATCTTAATCATAATATAATCAACACTAATATAATTGGACAAACTGATACTCCTTGTGGATAATCTTTGATGGCTCTTAATGGAGATCTTCCGTGGCTGTTCTTTTCACACTAGCAGGGATGATTTGTCGATTCGTTTTCTTCGAATCGATCTCATGGGTATGATTCATATCTTTCTTGACAATTATATACTCACTTCCAATTGTGAATAGTTTAGCTTTACAGGTACGATGTGAACAGCGCCATGATGTTTCATCACTTTTTAATACACCATTTTCAACAAAACTGGCATACTCCACATTTTTTTTTTTTTTTTTTTTTTTCGATTTATGGCCTAGGTGTATATACCTAATATGCCAGTCTCAAATTTGTGTTTTAAATTCTCAATCATGTGTGTTCTGTGTAGGCTTTGTTACTGTTTCCCAGCGCCACTTTAGGAACAGCACTGTTAATTAGAACCCAACAGTGAATGGTCGAGTGGGGAATCCTACCAAGGCATCAGAATTAATTTTAAATAATTAAATTAAATGAAAAAATTCCGGCCAACGGTGGGATTCGAACCTGGGACCCTTGGATCCACAGGCACAGGCTCTAACCACTGAGCCACCCACCCCCTACTCCACAATTAAGGAAATTTTTTAACGCTGGTTCCATATTATATGTATAATTTTATTATGACAAACTTTCAAAAATTAAATCTTGATGAAAAATTAAAGCTTACTCTAGGCAGTTCACGAGTTAAATAATAATTATAAATTGATGAAAAAATTAAAACAAACCTTAAAAGAGGGAGGTATAGGACAGGTAAAAGTTTCAATAATTGAACTTTAATGGATTCCATAACGCAATCTCTTTTTCACAAAGGATTTCAAAATATAGTGTTACGGGTTAAAAGTACCTTACTGAGCAATATATTTAAAATTTACATTAGTTATCTTTTTATGATTCTATCATATTTTCAATCATATAAATATTTAAATTTAATTAATTCCATACCTCAATGCGATTCAAGAGTCAAAATAAAACAACTGAACTTTAATTAATAAAATATATTTGTATAACTATACATTTTATATGCTATTTTTCGTGAAGAATCCAATGAATTTGGCTGCCCGTATTACATTTCTAAAATAAAAATATACGATAATTAGAAATATTCAAATATTGTAAACAAATAAATATAACCTTGTCTAAGAATTGTCATATTCTTCCTTGTCTCTTCTTTTAATTTCTAATTTGTCATTAATTCTTAAAATTCTTAAATCAATTAAAAGAAGAAAACAGGATACCAACTAAAATAATTAATTTATTCCTAAAACTTCGCGGCAAATATTAGCAAAAAAAGTGGTTCTTGTCTTTTTTTGCATTAGGCACGTTTTCTGAGAAAGAAGCGTGCTCGCATTTTGCTGATTTTCTTCTAAAAAACTCATATTTAGTGAACTAAAAGATTTTGTGTTAATACTAAACAATAATCTCAACATTGTGGATAAAAGTTCCGAATATTTAGAGTTTTTCACCTTTTTTTATATTAACTTACTTCAGTTGAAGCCCCTTTGTGTACAACCCATCATCCAAGGTGAGTTTTTAAGAAATAACCCCTATATAAAAAAAAAGAATGTTATTAAGGGTGAGATTACAGAACGTCTGCAACTTTGCATCTGCAACTTTGCAAATATGGCGGACTTACAAATGTAAGTATTCCAAAAAATATCTGCAAATTCGCAATATTTATTGTGGTTTATTACCCCCAACAACACTTAACCCAAATTTGGAATACGAAAACTTGATACTTGCATGTGTAAGTCAGTCATATTTGCAGATTTTCAAAGTTGCCGCCATATTTGCAGATCTGCAAAGTTGCAGACGTTCTGTAATCTCACCCTAAACTTTTTATCGTCCCAATTTTGGCAATATATTTTTAGGCCTCTTATGCAGACTTTCACTCTTATGATGATTTTCAATCTCATTTCCATTCAAATTTCATCTGAAAATTAATTTTTGATTTTACTATATCTAGTCTGGAACCCGGAGGTTCCTAGACACCGAATTACTTAAAGACACCAAATAAAGCTAGTGGAGGAATCCAACCAGTCCATCTCTTTGAGATTAAAACAACTGGAGACTCAACTCATGGTTAACAGCCAGAAGACCTGGAAAAACAGCTAAGAATATTTAAATACTAATCTTATTTATACCTAATCATTTTTTTTTATACATTTGTCTTTTCACCCGATTGGTGACGTTCATATACTACCTATTGCTTTGATTTTATAAAATTTAATGTACCAATTAATCTAATTTTATTAGTATTATTTATTGACTATATTTATTTATAGAAATAAACTACATCTTACCATAGGTTGTTACAGCAATTATTAAACTTAATTCATTGCTTTACATGGGTACCAAAGAGAAGCTCTGCAAGCCTATAAATCTTCAGATTATCTTCGATTTGTGATTGCTTTTCAAACTACCTAAAATCATTTATATTTATATAAAATATTAATTAATTTATATAATTACTCACCTGATTATAATCCAGTTGTGCTTATTTATTTGAAACCATAAAATATATATCTACTCTCATCACTTAATAGAAAATATTCCACACTATTTTTGTTTTCTTAAAAGAACACGAATCTGTTTTACAAGCAACCAAAAACTGTTTTTAATCCAGTACACTAGGTAATCATTTCATCCAAAATTTTGTCTACGTTATGAGCCTCGCTAGTAAACTTAATATCAAAAAAAACAAGTTTTAATTGCTCATCTTATTAATTTTGAGATTATCATCAAAGGAATACTCAAATATCCGAAACAGAACTATTATCCAAAACTTGACAGGCGACAGCATTTTGCATTTAGTATTTAGTTAACCAAACCAATATATTCCAACGAGTGCAACATGTGAAGACAATTCATAATGCCTTCTTTTAATGTGACCCTAAAATTACTCTTGTGGATGCTCAAAAAAAAAGGTCCATTTCAATATTTCCAAAACAAAAAACGTTTTATTATTTTACCTTTTTCATTACTAATGCCCTCTACTTATAGGGCCGACGAACACATTTCTTCCCACCACTTTTTAATACTTTTCTCCGCATTTTCAATCACTTTAAGTCTGGTCGTCTGTGCGTATGCATGTAGATTGTAGATAGTAGGTATGTGTGGTTTTGACTATTCTTTATAATTTCTTCAAGCCGCGAACTCAATACGACTAGTGCCTAAATTATTTTCAGAAATTTTTACGAATATTTTGGGTGAGTAAGCAACAATTTTCGGATAATAATTTAGGCACGTGTGGTTTTCGGTAAGAAAATTTTACACCGAAATTTCAAAACTTGATGGACATGAAATGCGTATTTGTCATAATTTGAATTCCTGAAAAATCCAATTATTAAAACATGCAACATCTTTGTAGATTTCGGAATTCTGTCTAACTGATAGTCTAGAGAAAGACTGCTGTATATATTTGTGATTGCGTGTGTTTTTTTTATATTAAGTATTAGTAAGTATATATACAAAGGTGGAAGTGTTAGGATTTTAAAGTCATGAAAAAGTTGTTTGTAGCTAGTTGTTCTTGAAACCCCAGTCATGCATCTTATAACTTTTTTTGTACACAGAAGGCTCGCTCCAGGATGACCGTATCAGATAATTGATTCAGCCAAACCAAAATATGTCAATTTTAAAACATCCGGATTTACATTGTTTTTTAACTGCCTCATTAGAAAACATAGACTCATTAGTTTATTTGATACATGATCTACATGGTTCTCCCACGTTAACTTGCTGTCCAGAATTAGACCTAAGAATTTGCTCGAATTTGTTTGTATCAATGATTGATGATTTAGTTTAACGAGATAGCTGAAGTCGTTTGCTATATTTTTTGGTATAAAGGTCATGATTTCAGATTTTTTTACATTATTATTTAAGCCGTGTGAAATATAATAACTATAAAATTCATGTGCAGCACTATTAGCAATATATTAAAGTTCAGATGCAATTTTTGCTGATGTTCCAAAAGTTGTGTCATCTGCATATATAATTTTGGTACTTTGACTTGTACAAGATAGAGCTAAGTCATTAATAAAAACTAAAACAGGGCCCAATATTGAGCCCTGCGGTACTCCCGTTGTCACATTTCGACTATTTGATTTACTACATCCGATGGTTACAACTTGTTCACGGTTGTTTAAATATAACTGTATCCACTTATTGAATGGTTACAAATTATCTAAGTACTTGCAGACTTTTGTTTAGAAGCAAATTTCTACACCACTTCATTCATTTTAGCTACATAAAAGGTAATTACTTTTTTAATTAAGAAAATAGGGGAATAAAAGTTGCCACTAACTTTGATAGCCATCACTTGTTAAATTTTTCAAAAGTTAATTCATTCCAAAAATATGATATACTTAAAGAGGATAGTGGTCACCAAATTTGACAAAAATGTTTAAAGTCGTTTTTAATTTATGGAAAATTTTGAATTATGATTTTAAACTTTTAACATCATGTTTTTAGATAGGTAACTAGCCTTTTAAAGGTTCATGTTCCTATATCAAATTTCATCAATTTATGAGAGCTCTCTGAGGCTGAGCGTTGTCGGTCAAATATACTAACACCCCTGTATCTGTGGATTTCAGGACGGGTTTCACAAAAAATGCAGTAAACTCAGTTTAGCTAACAGGAGTTTAATTTTTACCTG